TTGAGTTTTAAAAAATCAAAGTGAAACTAGCAAGTTTTGGGATAAATTTCGGAAGAACGCTTTTTTAAAATGGTTACGCTGACAAAAAACCTCTTCCGGAGGAAAGGGTGATGGTTTTCTTCGTATAATTTGACTTTAAAATGAAAGGCGAGAGGTCATTAAAATAAAAAAACAACTAAAACTTCGCACTGAACGTACCCGAACTGCTGATGAACAGCAGTCGATCTGCGCACGCAAGGAGGTGCTATTCCTATTCTTCTTCTATAAAAACGAAAGAGAGCTTCAAAACAGACTGCAGCGCCATCTGAAGCAAAGAGCGGACTTCCTGCGGACACTTTTTTGGCTGAGTGGCCCATCTTGTTATTTACTATCTTTGGTTTAGCTTAAAACCTATTTTCTGCCGACGTCCCTTTTTAAGGAGACTTTTAAAAAAGCCGATACTTCATAAATATTCAAAAATTTTGTTTCAAAGTTATAAGTTTTCAGATACCAAAATGATACATTTTTTGTTAAGCAAGAAAAGTTTCACACCAGTGTGAGTTTTTAATGCTGATTTTGGCCTTCTTCGCCGTGCAGCTTCTTTCATGGCTAGTTCTTCCTCTGTTTGAAGCGCGCAGATTCTGTCGCAGTGCTTGTACTTTTCAAAATGGCGGATGGCTGAGTTCCGCCCAAAGCACTTGATATGCCTATACATAAGGGAGATATACCAGACTATCTAAACTAAACACCTGCTGCCATCTCAGAAAGGTTAAAATTTCGCCAAGAACTTGTGAAAGGCGTACCTCTCATTTGCATGTTGCTCGGACTTTACATCTGGTGTTGTCCCGTGTCTCTATTCTTTGCCCGTTCTACATTACAACCATTAGCTTTAAAAGAATCGAGTGAAATTCTTTGAAAATTTTTGGGGGATAAAATTTGCATTAGACACACGACAGGATGAGACAATATAAAATACTCCCCCCTCCCCTTCTCCCCCACAAAAAAGAAAAGAAAAAAAAAGAAAAGAAAAGAAAATAAAGAGAGAGGAAAGGAAAAAAGCTAGAGAACAACAGTCACAGTGAAATATGACGCTTCACGAATAAAAACTGTTGGAAACAAGAGACAGGAGAGAAGGCCGCAAGCTGTGCCTTTGATTTTTTGGGAATATTTTTCAAAATGTAGCAAACTTTTCTCTGCCGGAATTGGTCTCATCGGCCACAACAGAAGCCACGAGTCATCGCAACCTTTAATTCTTCAAATTCTTCTATTTCGCTGGAGAAATATTCTCCTCTGCAGATGTACTGGTCGTCGTCAGACATTGACGGACGAGCTATTATTATTATTATTATTATTATTATTATTATTATTATTATTATTATTATTACCATTACCATCATTACCACCATTATCATTATCATTATTATTATCATTATTACTATTATTACTATTATTATTATGGTTGCGGTGTTATGTTTGTTGGTGGTGTGGTGCTTTCTTTTGATGTAACCCCCGTGGATGACGTCAGTGGTGGTGGGTGTGGTGATCACAGTGTTTTTGCCTGTAACATTGAGTAAGGCTCTTCTTAGTAACATTGTAAGGTTATTCAGCCCCAGGTAATACATGTTTGTTTTATAATACATGTTTGTTTTATAATACATGTTTGTTTTATAATACATGTTTGTTTTATAATACATGTTTGTTTTATAATACATGTTTGTTTTATAATACATGTTTGTTTTAGTAAGGTTTTACGGCGCTCGCAACTGCATAGGAAATACATGTACATGTAGAGTCGGACATCAGTAAGAGGGAGACAGAAGTCGACGGAGCTGACCACACCAGAGCTCCCGTCAACTACCCGCGAGATCTCCGTGAGGGTGATGTATCGTAACATAAAGGAAGGAGCATGGGAACATTACCGTACAGAGCAAAGTAAGGAACCTGATTAGCCTCAGTAAACAGGAAACTCTGCACCCGGACTAGGATAATGATACTAATAATGATAATAAATAGCATTGGTATAACGCATATCCCCGCTCGACAACAAGGTATATGCGCTTTACACAATAACATTATTACATCAGCATACCATAGAACACTCAGAAACATTCTCAGCTTCCCGGGTAGCATACAGTGCAAGCAGCTGATAAAGCGCTCCAACACTATAGTCCGGACAACATTAAATGGACAATTTGTCGACCTCATTACACCGAATCTAAGTTGCGAACCTCTCTGATTTTTTTGGCATGCGCTTTTGAATTTTTAAAGACCTAAAAATCTCGATTTTAGTGCATATGCGACAAATATAAAGATGTGCTATCTATGTAATCATTAGTAATTAATTGTCCATTAAACTCATCACCACGCACTGTTTATAGTGATTTTTAAGGGTTTTTAAAAAATTCAAAGGCACATAAAAAAAATCAAGGCAATTCACCTTTTAGTTTCTGTGTAATAAGGTCGACACGTTGTCCATTTGGTATTGTTCAGACTATGGCTCCCC